TTTTGGTCTTTTTGAGACAGTGTCTCACTGTGGCCCCAGTTGACCTGGAATTTGCTATGTAGACCAGGCTGGCCTCGAACTTACATCCAACTGCCTTTGCCTCCCAAGTGCTAGGATTAAAGGCATGTGCCACCATACCTGGCTTAAATAAAATATTTTTAAGAAAAGTTTTTAGTAAATTTGAAATGTTTCAGAATAAAAAGTTGGAGGAAAAGGTGTTGAGTTGATTAAAAACAAAAAACAAAAAACAAAAAAAAAACTTTCGTAATTTACCTAGTAGCCACATCGCTCCCTTCCAGATCCATCTCTAGTCTTCTAGTCTCACCAAGCACACATAAGAGATGGGATGGATCCTTATCCATGTCCATTGTGTGATGATCTAGTCAAGCTAATTGACAGCCTTACTTGTTCATATATGGAGCCACCCGACCCATGGACTGGAACCTCTGAATGTGAGCCCAAATATACCTTTCTTCTTTTAAACTGTTTCTCTCAGGTATTTGTCAAAAGACAAAAACTATGAAACCAGCTCCAATGGAAAAAGAGTGGGAAAGGTGGATCCCATAAGAGACCTCCCCTTAACTGGCTCAGCAGTTAAGAGCACTTGCTGCTCTTGCAGAGGAGCCAGGTTTGGTTCCCAGCACCCACATAGTGGCTAACAACCATCCATAACTCCAGTTCCAAGAGATCCAATGTCCTCTTCTAACCTCTGTAGGAACTACATGCACATGGTACACTTATATACATGCAGGCAAAGAATTCACACACATCAAATTAATGAATCTTTAAAAATATATAAAGAAATATGATTTTAAAAAGAAAAGGACATCTTTCATAAAAGTAAGTAGGAAAAGCATGATCTTTGAACGGAGGGCAAGCATTGAACAGAACTCCTTCATGCTGTCGCTGGTTGCCACATGGCTCCTCACCACCCATGTCAGAGCCCTATCCTTCAGTTTAGCATGCCATCTCCTTATTGAGGAAAGGTCTTTAATGGTCTCAACTCTATCCAACTCCTGGGGTCCACTGACTGATTTCCCTCTCTGGGCTTCATTTTGACATAGTGCTCCAGGGGAAGTGTATCTGCTCTGCTGGGTTAGTCCCTTCCCTGCCCACCCTCAGCCAATGCCACCTTTGCCAAGAAGTCCTCCAGGCCTGCTTCCACTCCACCTCCACAGCTCTCCATTGCAGCCCCAGTGACTAGCATCAGGCAGGAACCCAGGGGTAATGTTTAGTACAACAGCACTTTGCCAAATATGATTGCTGGCTGGATGACCTGAAAGCTCAGGTCCCTCAGGCCTAAGTTTTGTATGGTTCTGCAGAGACCGTATTGGCCCCAGAGCAAAAGCAGAGTTCTATTCCTGGGCAGACTGAACAGTACTTTAAATTCAGGTTCCTTGGGGCTGAGGAGATAGTTCAGTCAGAAAGTCGTTTATGATGCAAGCATGGGTCCCTGAGTTCAAACAGCAGGGTGTGGCTCCCTGAGTTCAAACAGCAGGGTGTGGCAGTGCGCTCCTGTAATCCCAGCATGGGGAAGTAGAAACAGGAGGATTCCTGGAGCTGGCTGGCCAGTTCAGTTGGATCAGAGAGCTCCAGGTTCAGCAAGAGAAGATGGACACAGGCTTTGCTCTCGATGGGTGCCCTGGGAGACTAATTTGAGGACCACTGGATTTTGGCTCTTCCAGTGTTTCTTATTTTTTCAGTTTTAAGCCAAGCTGAAGGCATCAAAAAGGAAAAAGAACACCCAAGGCAGGGAACGCCGACTCACGAGGTGGCACAGATGGCAGCTAAGAATAGCCATCGTCTCTGAGAGTTATATAAATGCAGCTCTCAGCAGGAGCCCAGGCAGTAGGAGGCAGAAGCCCCCTGGACCCCTCGTTTCTGTGCCATCCTGAGGGAGCATCCCACAAGAGCCTGTCTGGAAGGCCTCCAGAGGGCCTGGCTTTGTGTGATGCTAAGCAGTAGTTTCCCTGAAACTTCCTGAAGAACAAAATGCAGTGCTCAGTGGCGCCCTAAGTCTGGGTGCTGTACCCACATCAGGCTGTCACAGGACACATTCTGAGTCTCTGAAGCACAGAGCCAAGATCCTAGAGGAGCCATGCTGGTCTGCTCCCCTGGGCTAAGAACAGTATGTAGATAAGACCTGGATGGCCTCCTGCCTTCCTCGACCCCAGGGCCACATAGCGACAGACTTTGCTATATTTACACGGTGCCTCCTCGCCAGATGACCCTCAGAGGCTTGGTGTGAGGACAGCTGAGATCCTTGGATAAAGAATCTGAGATCCTTGGATAAAGCACAGGGAAGGACAGGTATTCCTCAGTGCCTTCCCTGTGCTTCTGCTGGTGAGTTTGAAACTGGACCTCATCACAAGAACAGCCCAGGCTCCAAATCTACTCTGAGCCACCCACTCAGCCTCACTTCCTCCTGCCTGTCCCCTGCCCTCTGCACTACACTCACAAACAGACAGTGGGCTTTCAGAGAGCCTCCCAGCCAGAGAGGAAGGTAGGCCCAGGCCTGAAATAACAACAAACTGGTTTGTAGATCCTGTCTCCAAACTGGGGGTCTCAGCACCCTCCTGCATGCTGCCTCCCATCCCCAGCACCCTCGTGACACTGCTCCTTTGCTGCTGCTCTGCACTCCTCACTCAGCTGTCACCTCTGGCTCCTTCACGGGCTTGCCCCAGGCCCAACCCATGGCAGGTGCCCAGAGCACCTGTTAATACCATGAGTCACTTCTTTTAATGAGGAAGTCCTGGAGTTCAAAGAGAACTCAGGACAATGTTGCTGGAACAAATGGTAACTTCTGCCACTTCCAAATCAGCACTAGTGAATGTTGAGAATTATAGGGGAAAATCCTTTTTATAGTGTAAGAATCAATACAAGCTAGGCATGGTGGTGCACACCAGCAATTCCAGCATTTAAGAGGCTGAAGCAGGAGGATTGAGAGCTCCAGATCAGTCTCACCTATAGAGACCCTGTCTCAAAAATAAACAATACAAAAAGAAAAGCAAAAGAATCAATGTAAAAATAAAAACTCAAATACTACCTTTCCAGTTATGATTTTCATAAAGCAAGGTGTTAAAGAACCATCTTTCTTCAGAAATTCACCTATTCTAAACTCAATAACAGGTAGATCCATGTTCATACTTGACAATGGGAGCCCAGCTTACATCAGGGTATGTATCTGGGGGCAGAGCAGCACCTGCTGCATGTGGAATAGGCTTGGTAGACTGATTCAGTATTAAAAAGCAATTTCTGTGTTTCCTGAAAAAACAACTGTATATTTGAAACCCTGTCTTCTAACCTGGGAGCAACCCACTGGATAAAACATACTGAGCTGGTGAGCTGACTCAGTGGGTAAAGGCACTTGCCAAGCCTGACAGCTTAAGTTTAATTTTCAGGACCCACATGCTAGAAGGAAGGAACTAGCTCCCACAAGTTGTCTGTTGACCTCCGCACACATACCATGGTACATGTGACCCCCCCCCAATAAGTAAGTAAAACACATTGTGATGGGCTCCCAGAATATGTGACTATGTGAGTACATGTGGTATGGGTACAGAGGAGTCAGGGTCAGGGGTGGGCCAGGTGCTGCCCCCATTCAGGTATAGAGATGTACCTCTGTAAAGGTGGAAGAAAACAGGAGCTGCAGGAGAGCCTTGGCCCTGAACAGGTAGGTGCAAGTGAGGGTAGGCGAAGGCACAGAGGCTACCCAGGTGGCTTCTGGGTAGGATACGGCAGGTGGAGGTATGTGCAAGAAGGTTCTGAGGGCTTGGTCCCATCAAGAAAATGTGAGTGTAAGAACCCATTGGGCAGCATGATCTCCCTGGGCTACTTGTGACTGGATCTGGAGCAGCCTGCTACAGCATCCTGTGGAAACATGTCTTATTTGAAGTGCTGGTATGGGCAGCATTTGCTGGTGTGAACAGTTGATGGGGCATCTACCAACAGCACTTTGGAGACCCCTGGGGATAGTGAGCCAGGGGAGTAATTGTGTAATGCTCATGCATCTTGTGAGACCAACACCTGATATTTTGACTCAGTTCAGTCAACAATGACAGGGGGGTGCTTGTGGGTGGGGACAAGGAAAATGGGGGCTTGCTATAGACACCCCTATAGAAGTGTATGGGGTGGTTGCATGGCAATGCTCACTGCAAGGCAGGCTTGCACCAGGACTGCAGGCTGCGAGAGCCACAGTGGACTCTCAGTCTTTAATTTTCCTTAAAGAGGGCTCCTTGTAGCACTTAACAATCACCACAGCAGCCCCTGGGGGACCCAAGGTAGGCTGTAAATGTCTGACCCACAGAAGGTCAGTAGGGCTTGACATCATGGGATTGGCTGCCCGGAGACTTTGGAAGGGGGTAGGTAGGCAATCACAGCCCAGAGTCATGGTGCTCTGATCACCCTACTGGCAGACAACCAAACTTAGGGTCCTTCCAAAAGCTGTGGTATCGGCAGGGAGAGCAAGTGTGGGTGAACTCAGCTTGGAAGAAGTTCCCCATATCAAGTCTGTGGGTGAAGGAGGAGCGACTGCTGAAAATAAGATTTCTGCTGGCTCAGGTTTCCTCCTCTTAAACGATAACTGTAGGCTATAAAACATGAGCAAGCCCTGTGAATTTTTGACCCTAGAGGCTGCAGATAGTCCCTGGAAGTGAGGGTCTCTGCATGCTGGGAGGGCTTGCTAAAGAAGGCCAAGGCATCTCAGGATTAAAGCTAAAGAATAAATAGCCCAACATGGAAAGGAAAGAGTAGCTTAGAAAAAGCTATTGGATTCAGCATCCAACTTCTAGCCTGAAGACTATCATGCTCAGAATCCTTCCTGCCCAGAACTTCTGTGCTCCATTACAGAGAGAATGAATCACAATAGATCCTAAGAGTGACCACCTGGGAAACCTACATGCCCGGAGACCAGGAGGTCCTGTGGCCTGACATGGCTCAGCCCATCCTCCACACAGAGCTGCCACCCAACAGGAGGGTACAGAGCCCTGTAAGGTACTTACGGCTATTCGCAGGACCGACGCCTTCACGGAGGTCCATTTGTCCTGCCTTCGGTCTATGACCAGAATGAATCCAATGCCAGCATCTTGCAAACTGAAACAAGGAGAAACACCCACATTCAGCGTGTGCCGACAGGAAGCCTGCCTCCACACGCACCAGCGACCCACCATCTCATACCACCTCTGTGCTGCGAGCCAAAATACACGCTAGGGAAGTGGTCTCGGCAGAGCACAAGGCTTCTGGGCCTGGCCAGCCCCATCCTGCAAGTCCCAGGACTTTCTCCTATTTAAAGGAGGACACACATTTTTGGTGTGTTGATCATTTTTCAGTCACATTTTTCACAGGTGAGCGAACCCCATCTTCTGGAGCACAGTAGCACCTTACTGCACTACAAGAGCCAAGCCACCTCCTTTCGTGCATGGACAGCTGAACAAGGCCTCCAAAACAAGCCTTAGGACCCGTACATCACGTTATCCTAGTATCTGAGGTCCCCGTGTTCATCCACGTTAAAAAATGGCTCCTGATGACATCATTACAACTTTGAGTAAAAATCCCCAAGGCTTCTGAAGGCTCGCTGGCGTCTGTGGGGTGTGGGGCATGAGTTTTCGCCCTCCAGGATAGCGACATCTGTGATAAAGGCGGAGCAGCATTGCACCGTCGTGTAGCCTGCCCTCCGTCTCTCGGCTCAGCCTGGTGGAAGGAGCCTGAGTCACAGGGTGGAAGTGGGAGGTCTGCTTCTGTTGGGTAATTTCATATCCAAGCCAATTGAGCACTGCCAGCAGCCGCTGCTGCCAGCCAATCCCCGGCAGAAAGGAAGGAGACAGGCCAGTGGAGACACTGACTTGAATCCTTGATTTCTGAATCTATGAACGTATCTCAATGAGCATTTCTGGACTTAAGTGGATGTCAGAATTCTACAAAACATTATAAATCATACTCAGCAAAACTCTGAAAACTGCAACTCCATAACAGATCCTTCTGGGTCCCATATTCAGCGATGTGACAGTGGTACATAAAGTATGCACCAGTGTGCTATTAACCATTCACCCCACCTGGGGAACGACCCCACATGTGCATAGTAAGTTGGTTCAATGATAGCAAAATAGTCTCAGGGAAATGCTCATCTACAAGTGAGCTTTTTCTCAAAGCAGCCTTTGCTGATGGTGGCTTAACACAATCACAGACCCACTGGCCTGCCCAGCTAATTCCACTGGGCTGAAGCCTAAAGAAGTGGCAACAGAACAGACTTCCAATCGTGCTCTGACCTGAGCAATGCAGGTACCTCACACCCTGAGGTGTGCCCCTTCTGAGTGTCTCCACACGGCTTTCACCAAAACTGCTGTAGCTCTGCCTGCTGGTGGGCAAATCCAATTCTCCTGTCCTGGCCTGTGCCATGTGGTCCACAGTCTAGTCCAAGGCCAGACAGTGAGGTGGAAGCATCGTGGCAGCCACATGGATTGCAAACCACTGACAAATGCCTGGATGACCAGCCTCCAGCTATCCCCTCTTTTCAGAGGCACAAAGTTATAGGCTATCTCCCTATAAAAATATCTAATATTCGCACGCCTGTAGTCCCAGCACTTGGGAGGCAGAGGCAGGCAGATCTCTGTGAGTTCAAGGCCAGCCTGGTCTAAATAGTGAGTTCCAGGACAGCTGGGGCTACAGGAAGACCCTGTCTCAAAAAGATTTAAAAAAATCTAATATTATTATAATACAATAAAGCCTATTTACAAGTATGGGAACCCTGGGGCCAGGGAACCACTGGGTAAATGGGAGCCCACCTCCTGCCTCCCTTCTGTATTGCAGGGGACTGTGCTATGGCTGTCTTTGTAGTTATAAATCTGTGAACCAAGCCTGACTCTTTCTAGATGACAAGAGGGCTCAGAAAGATGGGTTGTCACCGCTATGTAAGCCATAGCTCAACCCCGCCACGGCATGCTTCCAGTCCCAAACTGGGGGTCTGAGAAACACCCTCAAAGGGTCAACCTGTAGGATTTCCTGACAGCAGTCACCATCAAGGGAAGGGGTGTGCAGGAGGGGGCGGGATGAACACGTCTCCCTGCTGTGACACTGGGCCCTTCAAAAGCGGCATCCTATGGTGACTCATTATGACCACCTCTGGTTCCTTTTCTGCAAACACAGAGATAATAATAGCATCGGTTCTTCAGGGCTGCAGAGCTAAAGGCAAATCCAGTAAGAGGGTTCTAAAGGCAGACAGATGGCTGAGGTCATCATTTCACGGAGGAACAGCAAAGCCTGATTCAGTTTCATCCCTTTTTCTGAGGTATTTTTGATTATGAAGGAACCACAGCCTCTTTCTCCAGTCTCTCCACATTCCCTATGAAATCCCTTCATGAGGGATCTACACAGATGGCTCAGTAGGTAAAGTGCTTGCCATGCAGCATTGAGGACCTGAGTTTGGATCTCCAATACCCACACGAGAGAAAAAAAGCAAGTGCATCCTTGTAATCCTAGTAGTAGGGGGGTGGAGACAGGAGATCCCTAGAGCAACTGGTCAGCCAGTCTGGCCAAATCAGAGCTCCAGATTCAGTGAGAGACTTTGATACAAAAAAATAAGGTGAAAAGTGATGGAGGAAGACACTGGATATCAACCTCTGTCCTCCGTGTGCACATGCACACACACAAACATGTACACACACACACACCTTCACAATTCCGTAATAGATCCTGGATGGACCTGATGCCCCAGCGAGTTTCTTCCCTTCAGGGGAACAAACTTCCACAATGTGGCCCAAGGTCCTTGTCTTCGAGCTCACCAAACAAGCCTGAGAGCCTGCAACCAACTTGCCGGCTTCTGTGCACATCTGCCCGAATGCCCAAGCAAGCATAAGTCACACACAGACATGGCACGTTCCTGACCCACAAGGCACTTTACTCCATCCATGCAGCCCCATCCCCACACCCAGTGCCCTGGGTGTGCCTTTTGTTTACTCACATTGGGAAACTGGAATTTTCTAAAGTCAAATACTGTGAAAGTCTTTATGATATAAATGTCACCAAACATTGGTATCATAAGAGGGCATTTGAATGAAAAAAAGAAAAAAATTATTATTACACATGAAACAAAGAATTAAAAATGCACACTAGCGGTTGAACCACAATGCAGGCAGTGATTCTGGACAACCTGCCCACTGTGGCTAATTTACACTGTGACTGCCCAGCAACTCAAAGTTGGGTCCACAGACAACCACCAGGGCAGAAAGGTCCGTCCCAATTCCTGCCAGCTTAGCCAGGCCCCTCGTTATGGGTGAGGAATTTCTGTCTTTCTGTGTGACTATAGGCCAAGCATGGGACTAACACCTCCACATTTCTTCATCAAAGCCTCACGGTGACTCTCTGAGGGTGGGACTTAATCTTGTCGGGCACAGAAAGGTTAAGTTTCCTCCTACCTAACGTCACACAGTTCAGAGATAGGTGAACCTATCACTCCAGGTCACTAGGCCACTACAGCTGCCTCCCGGGGCTACACCCACCTTAGGAAAGTATGGAAAAAGCAGCCCTTTACTCCTTACCATCCCCTGGACATACCAGAACTGTACATGCTGTGCCTGGTCTCCAGCCACAGCCCCATACTGTACCCTTCTACATGGGCCCAAGCAGACTCTCCTGTTGCCAACATCTCTTCCCTTCCCGCTGTGCCAGGGAACACTGATCTATCTGGACAGAAAGCTTAGATGAAGGTGGCCCCATCATTACAGTGTCCCCTTTCCTGTATCCCCAGCAAGCCAGGCCCTGGAGTCAGTCCCAGGAGGGTGGTGATTCCCATGAGCTCTAGCAGGACAGCTGTGGCTGGTTTTTCTAAAGGTGGAGAACTAGAGAAGGCAGCACAAGGGTGCCTCAGACGTTGCCCTGCATTCAGGCTCCAGCACTGCCTGAGATATCCACTGTGGTCTCTAGCTCTGAAACAATACTTAGAAAGGGAATGCCCAGGCTAGCCTCCTGTGCTAAATTGGAGGCCCATGAGCTCACTTTACATATAAAAAGGCCCAGAGGCCTTCTCACAAAGGCTGTTTCAGGACTTTGGGATTTTCTGGACCCTTCTCTAGAGGCATCATTGCTCTAGTTCTGCAGACCTGGGTTCTGATTGCAATGGGCACTGAGTAGGAAGAGCAAGCACAGAATGATAGACACAGGACTGGGCTCTGCCCTGTATAGGACATGGACACCCAGCTTCACATTTCCAAGGCCTACTCCAGCAGCATCTTGTTGATGGACCCAATGGGGACAACAGGAGGACCCACTTCATTCTCAGGGTAGAGGGAAGTGTAGGTCAAACACCCCAAGCCCTGTGACATCAGTGGGGGAAGGACCCATCAATCCTGCATAAGACTCATGATGTAGCTACCTCTGGGCATGACATGGCCACCTCCATCTTTAAATCAGAGCACCCATGATAACCCACAAGAGACCCTCACAAGATTAGGTCTTCATTTACAGAAGGAGGGCTGGGGAGGGTCATTGGACTCTGACCTGAGATTCCAGTCACTCCATCCTGCCTGTTCCCCCGGCCTAATTAATTGTACATGGTCTTGGGAGATGGAAGGTTAACTGTGGAGGGATTCCAGTGATGTGGCTTTCCTGAATCATCACCCGTGTCGGGATGCCTTTTCCATGGTGCAGCTGTTTGGGGGTCACTCATGCACCTGCATATAAGCCTAATAAATTCAATGCTTTGCTAAGCTCGTCTTGGGTGGGATCTTTTCTTTGGTCTGTCTTGTAGCCTTTGGTGTCATTCATCTTTTCTCTCTGGGAAAAGTTAACTCAACAGCTCACCTGAGGGAAGGTGAGGTGCAGGATGTTAGACACTCAAGGGCCAAACAGCAAGAGTAAGAGCTGGGGTTGAGGTCCAGCAGTCAGAGCTCAGGACCTATGTCCTAAACCCAGCCTGCAGGGTGCTGGCACCCTATTGGTGGAGACTAGATAAGTGTGAGGTGCTCCCACATGGTGCCTGAATGAGATGAGGCCAGAGGAGGGTATGGTATTGGAGGCCTGGGGATAGGCAGCCAGTGGTCAGACAAGCAGAGATGCAAGGATCAGAGGATGTGTTCACCACAGATGGCAACAACTCTGCC